CGGGGGGTTTCTGTTTCAGTTTCGCCCTCTCTCCCTTGTACCCTGTGGGTTTCCATTTCTTTTCTGGGTGTTTGAAGGGGGCTGAGGGGGAGGCAGGACGCTCCTCCTCCGGCCATGGTGGCCATTTTACACGTGCCCCCCCCGCCTCCTTGGGAGCGCAAGCACCCATGGTGGCTTTTGGTTTTGGTTTTGTCGCCTGGATCCTCTCTTTGTCAAACCTGACCCAATTGTTGGAGCACGGTTCCACCCTTTTGGGCTCTGGCTCCGGGGGTGCTGGGCTCCCGGCCCTAAAGCCTGACTTCAGGGCAGAGATAGTGGGGTAGAATCCCAATGGAGGGTCCACCCCCAGGTGAATCTCCCTCTGCTGAGCAAGCCGTTCAACCCGGTCCCAGACATCCCACATAAACAGATTGCTGGTGGGCAACCAAGGGGCCAAGTGTAGGGCATGCCCCCATACCCTCAGTGCAGTCTGGTCCATTAATTCCAGACCCTGACTCTTCAGCACGTATCTTAGTGCTTTAAGTGCCGGGTCCTCAGGCTTACTGTTGCTGTTACCCATCTTTTCGGGTCTCACTCGCCTTGGAGCTCGCTTGGCCCTGACCCATCTAGGCCCTCTCTTCGAGCCCTATGTTGGGCGCCAGTTGCGGGAGTCCACGCCAAGGTCCCGCCCTCGAGGGACCTGCCTTGATGGGGGTCAGGGAAAGGTGAGCGCGCTGTCCACCCATATCGCCAGCCCTCCTCGCCCAGGACAATCAGACGCCACAGGGAGTCTTGTCAAGCAGGAACTCGTTTATTGCAGGTGTCACAGAGCTTATATAGGCAAAAACCGCAGTCTGGAAATCCCTTCGGAAACCCCCTCCCCCGAACACACCCAATCAGCTTAAAGGTCAACCTGTCACATGGGCAGGGTCCCATAGGCGTCAACGATGACCACGTGCTGATCATGCGCCGCCCAGGGGTGTGGAAGGACCGGCATCCAATCCGATGATCTTCAGGACAAGTCAGGCCACGCCCTGCTTACTTCCTCTCGGTGCCATTTTTGCAGGGTTGCTCTCAGGCTCCCACAGTTTTCCTAACTTAGTATTTTTTTAAAGGTTTCATCAACGTGGGTGGAAAAGGTACTTGCATGACAGGGTGAGATTTTTTTGTAGTTTCTCACTATAATGGAAGTGAGTTCACCCAGCTTTCTCCCTCTGTGGAGAGGACTTGAAAACCCAGAGGTTTAATGATTTGTTCAATAGTTACTGTCAGCCTTACAACGGTATGAACCACTGAGGGCCCAGTACTGCTGCAAATTAAACTCAATGCTTTTCCAGTCTTTGCCTCTTTGTATATTGTGCCCTGAAAACAAGCTTAAATTTATTTGCTGACATCTTTTTATTCCTTAATTGAGTTTGATGTGTTTGGATTTACTGACCTAAGAATACTTTTCCATCTTGAAAATATTTACGAAGTAAGAAATAGGAACCATTCTATTTCCAGGCAAACAGTGTCAAACTGTGGTATATATTTGCTTTCCTACATCTTTCTCCATTTGTAAAAGTTCTCCTGTCTCAAAAAGACAATCTGCACATTACATGCTACAAAGGTGTTTCATGGTTGTGGTTTGGAAGTTGCTTAGTTTTCCTGAGATTATGCATAGATAAGTTTTAGCCAGTAAAAACGTTTGTGTCTGTTGATATGAACCACTGGATGGAGACATATTTGGGAACTTTGTAGTTGAAGGTGATCATTTTCTAAAATTTTGTTTGGAACTCTGAATGTTTATTCCTATACTTATCATCCGCCCGCCTGTCTGTCCGTCCGTCCATCCATCCATCCATCCATCCATCCATCCATCCATCCATCTGCTTTTGAGAGTGTCTTTAATTCTTTAAACCCAGGCTATGCTGAACCTCACTATGTAGCCCATATTGGCCTTGAACTCAAAGCAGTCCTCTTGCTTCAGCTTCCCTAGTGCTGGGATTACAGGTGTAAGCCACTGTACCAGGCTCCTAAACCTTTTAAATGGAGTCCAGCTTCCTAGGGTTAGACCAGCAAAACAACCTGGTTGATTTTTTTTTCATTCTGGAGATGATACATGATTAAAAACAAAAGGGAGACAATCATATGACACAATTAAGTAGAAAATGTGTTCAGATTAGTAGCTATTCCATTTTATTGATTTAAAAAATTTCAGCTCCTCCTGTTTTCCATTCAGCAAGGGTTTCTGGTTTGCTGTGAAGCCATGGGGGGGTTCAGATTAGTAGCTATTCCATTTTATTGATTTAAAAAATTTCAGCTCCTCAAAATTACGGAAATACGTTTTTGTCCTGTTTTCCATTCAGCAAGGGTTTCTGGTTTGCTGTGAAGCCATGGGGGAAAAAGAGGAGCTAGAGCACGGAGGGTCCAGGTATGCTGTGGGGCAGTGGGGTTCTGGGCTTAGCTCCAGTGTGGCTGATAGCAAGGGAGGTGACTTGATGGGGGAATGAAGCATAGTGTGCCACTAGGACTGATGAGACAGGGAAGGCACAGAAAGGAGACCATGAGCCTGAAGGCCCTGTGTACATGAAGTCAGCTGGCTCATACTGGTATGCTTCGCTGTTCAGGCTAAACACCCATTCCTTAGAAACCTTTGTTCTGATATTTCTTCATCTTGTGGTGTCTGTACTTAAAGCTGTGTGTCTGAATCGAGGCCCTTTCCTGTTGAGAATCTCAGGTCACTGGTTCTGAGGGGTTAGTGTGAGTTCAGACATTTGCACTGCTAGAGATGTTGAGAAGATTCTGTCTACCCTCCAGTATCTGGGCTTCAGCTGGAACTGTCTATAGTACTGGAGTGAGGGTAGAGAAGGTAGAGGCTGAGGGAAGGCTCCTGGCTACCTTGTGGCTTGTCGCCAGTTCTGTCCTCCCTGTGCTCTGGGGAGGCCATCTCCACCTGGTTTCAGCAGCCTTGGAATTCTCGTGGCTCCTACCTGATAGGTTTCTGGCTACTGCAGCTTCTTGTTTCCCTGGTTTTCTTGCTCCTACTTATACCTCAGCATGCACTGAAGGCTTGTAAACTAAGCCTCTTTCAGCTGGCCGTTAATGCTTGGTTTTTTACATCAAAAGAAATTGCCTTGAAGTCAGGTGTGGTGGCATTGTCTTGTAATCCAAGCACTGGAGAGCGAGAGAGAGCGAGAGCGAGCGAGAGAGAGAGAGAGAGAGAGAGGTATATATATGTATATGTGTGTATATATATGTGTATCTCTCTCTATATATGTATATATGGTGAGACTAAAATGTTGACTCCCTCTTCCAATATGTTATTGACTAATTTTTGTATACCCAATTTTGCTTAGTTTTGGAACCAAATAAATGTTTCTTCCTCTTCACTCCAATTCATACCATTTCTGAGGTGAGAGCTGGAATTCTGACCTTCATTATAGAGATGGAGATTGTCCTGCACTTGCTTGTACATACCGTAGGGAATATCTCAGGGGCATGTAGCCTGGCATCCTCTGAGCCAAAGGGAGCCTTTCCTCGTTTCTTCTTATTTGTGCCTCTGGGTGTCCTTCATATCCATAGGCAGCCTGCCTCTCCTGTGCTATCATCTTGACTCAGCCTGCCTCTCCTGTGTTGTCCATTGTCACCTTGGCTCCAGCCTCCCTCTCCTCCTGTGCTGGATAGCTTTAGTGTCAACTTGACACACCTGGGTAGAGGGAGCCTCAATTGGGGAATTGCCTTCATTGGACTGGCCTGTGGCCATGTCCCTGGGGTGTCTTCTTGATTGTTGAGTGATGTGGGAGGGCCCAGCCCACTGTGGGTGGTGCCATCCCTGGGCAGGTGGGCCTGTGTTGCATAAGAAAGCAGGCTGAACAGGGGCCAGGGGAGCAAACCAGTAAGCAGCATTCCTCCATGGCCTGCGCTCCAGCTCCTGCCTCCAGGTTCCTGCCCTGAATTCCTACCTTAGGCTATTGGATGAACTGTAACCTGGGGTATATAAGCTAAATAAATACTTTCCTCCCCAAGTTGGTAGTAGTCAGAGTGTTTTGTCACAGCAATGGAGAGACAAACTAGGACACCTTCTGTGTTGTGGGTTACCATTTTGACTTCTGTCAACATCCTACTTATGCCTCTCATTGATGCTTTTGAAGTCAGGCAGCCAGGTCTGAGTCCTCTTACACAGCACTGTGAATCAGGCTTGCTCTTGGTTCTTTATAAATGAAGAGAATTAGTCTTCTCATGGTGTCATGGAGGTGGTGCTGGTAGAGTGCTTGGCCCTGTGGCCATCTCTAAATGGCAACTGCTGTCATTAGCTGATGGAGAAATGGTGTCATTAGCTGATGGAGAAATGGAATCCAGAGAGCGTGCATCCGTGTGGGCCTGGATTGCTGGCCCAAGGCCTGAGCAACTCCTCTGAGCCTGTGAGGCCTGGCTCTGCTGGTATAGTGTATTTTTCCTCCAGGCTGATTCAGTCTTCCCGCTGTCAGGTGCGTAATCAGGATGATGTGTGGAAGATGTAGACATGAGTGGAGTCTGTGGGACAGCTCTGCAGAGGAGCCCAGAGGTTCATCACTGACCATCAGCCCACTGCCTCCGAACTAACCTCCGAGTTTTACATCTTTGTGGGTCTGAGACCACCTGTACTTCTGGTCTCCTTTCCATCATACTCTTTTCTACCCTCGATGTGGTATTAATCAAGAAAAACAGTTCATATATTTTTGGTAATATTTCTTGTAGGATCACTGGGAAGTTCTAAGAATCTTTTCAGGGGACACAATATTGTTAATCAAAAGCAGGTAACTTTGGGGTTTGTTTACAGGGAGTTAAGGCCCCAGGGTTATTGACTGCAGAATGTCACTCCCAGCCTTCTGATGAGCAGTGCTCTTACAGTGCAGGACAAAAGCTCAGATTAAATGTCACCAGGCAAATTTTAAAATGCATTTCCATTTTGGAAATACATAGAGGGGAGAGGAGAATAAAGCAGGAAAGTTGTATACAGTAGTTGCTTTAATATATATATATATTTTTATTCTAAACAGGGAGTTTTGAAAAATAAATGGTCAATTCTCTACCTCTTGCTGAACCTTAGTGAGGATCCTCGCAAGCAAGCCAGCAAGGTGGGTGAGCAATCACAGCAGTGTCTTGTGGAGTAGTTCCACGTTTTTATAGGAGGGAAAATAATATGAGAAAAGCAAAAAAATCATTTAGCCTGGGAGTCAGGTGATACTTTTTCCTTTCCAAGGGCAATTTTTTGAGGCTGTGTCTCAGAATTATGTTGTTCTGATGTAACAATGTGTAAATAGATAGAGCCTAAGTTGTTTGTTAAAAAATGTGCACCATGTGAAACTGGGACTCAGCCCAGAAGGGCCTTATGTTGGCCTCCTCTGCTCGCAGGTATCAAGAGTGCTTGCTTGCCCTGTCTTACTGTGGTTCTTCCTGCTGTCACATGGCTCCCATTTTCCCTGTGAAGGGTTTAAAAGAATGATCTGGCAGTTCCCTACTATAGGGTCCATGCAGGAAAGTGTTCTCTCAGAATCTGAGGTGCGTGGGAGGCGGAGTTGTGCTTGTCACTTAAGTGCTGGTCTGAGTGCCCATCTCCTGTAACAGTGCTAGACTTCTAAAAACAATTTGTGTTTCTGTTGGAGTTTAGAAAGTCTCTGAACCTTTGTCATATATGGCACTTCAAAGGCATCGTCAGTAACTTTTTGTTTAATAGATCTAATTCCAGAAATAACTTCAGGACAGGAATACAAAGGATCTTCTGGGTCTGGGAAAGTGTCCTGTAATGGTTACTCATGTGTTTACAACACACTTTATTTCAGGTGACTAGCTATGCTTCGTTATTTGCACAAGCATTACCAAGAGATGCTCACTCAACGCCCTATTACTACGCCAGGCCTCAGACCCTCCCCCTGAACTACCAGGACCGCAGTACACAGGCGCAGAGCACTGGCAGCCTGGGCAGCAGCGGCATCAGCAGCATTGGCATGTGTGGCCTCAGTGGCCCCACACCTGTGCAACCTTTCCTCCCAGGGTAAGGCCAGCTCACGTGCACATGCATGACATGGTAGAACCAGTAATGTCCTGGCCTTTTGACCAGGCCTCATGCGTACCTTGACCATGCTGCCATGGTGTCATGTGTACCACCTAGTGTTGTAGGTCATGTCCCCAGGCTTTTATCCAGGCAGTTCTCTTGAACGCTTTAAGAAGTAACAAGGTGAATTGTCCTTGTATTATGATATTCAGACTCATGGCTCTGGCACGTTAGTGCTATGAGCAAAGAGGATGGAAGCCAGGAATACACAACAAAAACAGGACAGTGTGTGTAGTTCTAGCACGCTGTCCAATCTGGTTATGTGTTGAGGAGGTAGTACTATTCTTGCAGCTGAGAATAAAGCAGGCATCCTTGTGATGAATGAATCCCCAGGCTCTGTTTTCTGTTAAGTACGTATTTCCATGTGTAGGGAATCAGATGGCTTTGTTTCTGCCATTGTTCATTCCTGGTGTTCACAGTTAAGAAGATTGGTAGCCAGATAATTTTCCAGAAGAGCAGCGATCAGAGTCAGCACCAATTGCATGATGATGTTCACACAAGCATGGCAGGATCACAAGTCACTTTGAGTTACAAAATTGCATGGAGGGCATTAGACCATGTGTACCACACAGACTGTTCTGTGATGTGCATGTGACACGTTTATCAATGGCACTTGATGATTGAGCTGGTGCCCATAAAGCTGAAAGGTTCTCTGTGACCTTAAAATTTAAGAGTGGTTTTTGTTACCATATGAAAAAAGTGCATAGACAACTTTGAGCTGAATCAGATTTTAAAAAAATATTTTATTTTATTTTTATGTGTATGAGTGCATTGCCTGCATGTATGTGAGTGCACCCATGTCACGCAGTGCCGTGGAGATCAGAAAAGGGCTTCAGATTCCCCTGGAACTGGAGTTAAGGACGGTTTTTTGCCACCATGTGGGTGCTGGGAATTGAACCTGGGTCCTCTGCAAGATCAGTCAGTGCTCTTAACTGCTGAGCTATCTCTCCAGCCTCTGAATCAGGTTTTTATATAGATAGGTCTCTGCAGGTGTATAGTGTTGCTGAATGCTGCTTCCGAGCTTGTGCCCACAAAGCATAGTGCAGCACACATGTGGTCAGTGCTTCTCCTCTCATGTTTCCCCAGAGCACTGTGGCAGTGCTGGCAAAGGCAGCTGTGAGTCTCCTGTCTGTTCTGCTGCTGCAGAAAGTGTTAGTTTTGTTGCAGTTATCACTAGGATGCAGCATCATGTTCTTAGGTGTTTACAAAGCAACTGTGATGTATTTTCCAAAGTACATAAAAGCTGTCTTGACTTTACATGTGTATTTGCCTTGCATTTTATGTATTTGTGTATTTTTCAAGTGAATTGTAACTACAGAGTCTCTCTATAGTGGGAGGGGGATGATGACAGGCAAATGGGTCAGTACTCAGCTGTTGTTTATGGTGTCACTGAGGGTGGCAGGGCACTATGACAGGCAGGTGAGTCAGGACCCAGGTATTGGAACTGTCAGCTCAGAAAGTGTTGTGTGAGTGAAAGGCCATAATCTTAAAGTTAAATTAGAGTTTCACACTTTAAATGTGGGTAATATATGCCATGTGCTTGTAGAGAAGTCAAATTGGGCAGAAAAGTATGGATGGTGGGGAGATGTGTTCAGCTGAGTATAGGTCAGAATGCTGGGCCAGGATCCCAGGGAGCTTAGACACTGCAAGGGACCTGGAACTGATTGTTAGGAAATGTGTAGTCCAGTGTGTTGTCCCCCCCGCCCCAGTTTGATAGGTTATTGTAATTAGTGTCATAGCATAAAAAGAATTCCTAAGAACATTTCTGTCTCTAGTGAAGCCATAAATGTCTCTTTCTCTAGACAGTCCCATCAAGCTCCAGGAGTTAGTGATGGCCTTCGACAGCAGTTGGGGTCACGTCTTGCATGGACTCTGACTACAAATCAACCTTCTTCACAAACCCCTACCTCAAAGGGTTTCCCAAATGCACTTTCTCGAAACATGACGAGGTCAAGGAGAGAAGGGGATCCGAGTGGTAAGATGTGTATTGGCATTTAGATGCTCTCTCACCCTTAACTTCAAAATTTTCATCCAAGACCTCACCTGTGGTGACTCCTTAGTGTTCTTGTAATGAAACCCAGGATCCCTGATGTGGCTGGATGCCTGTGGGGTCATTTCATGTTGCTGGCTTTTTAGTTCTATTTCCTTCCATTGCTCAGCTATCTGCATGATCTGCTCTTTGTGCTGTACTCCCTGCCTCTTTGTCCCAGTCCTCTTCCCATATCATTCTGCTGTCCCTCCAAGAAGCCACTAAGACCTTCTGGGAAATTGCTTCTTGTTCTAGTCTTAGTTCTGTGAAAGGTGGTGTCCTCCTTGGTCATGGTGCTGGTGTTTAGCACTGTTCCTGGAGTGTGAAGGAAACTCACTGGTGATTTCCTTGGTGGTGAAATGAAGACCCTTTCTAAAATTCTGCTAGATTGTCACAGAAATGCAAGTGTTTTTCTTATGTACACCATGCGTAATGGTGCTTGGAAAATGGCTTTTACCAGCACAAAGAACAGGCTTTACTGCTGGTTCACGATCTGTTGGCCCTGAAGCTGTGGCTGGTGCTGCCTGTCTTTAAGGGTAATGCAGGGGTCATTGTCATTTGGAACTTGAGGGCATTTGGGAGCCTTTGACCTTGCAGCTGTTTCTAGCATCTACACAACTGCCATCCCCCTGAGGAACTAGCACGTGCCCCTTTCTTCTGCATGTATATATGTGTACCATGTGTGTGCAGTGCCCTCAGAGGTCAGAAGAGGGTGTCAGATTCCTTGGAACTACACAGCCAGTTGTGAGCTGCCATGTGGGTGATGGGAACTGAACCCAGGCCCACTGCAAGAGCATTCAGTGTTCTTAACTTCTGAGCCATCTCTCCAGCCCCATGTGTGCCACCTTCTTAATCACGTTGTCCTACCATGTGTGAGGGTCAGCACTGAGGGCATAGCGGTCCAGTGTATGCACCAAGCCATATGTCCTCAGCCTTCAGACTTCTATTCTTACACAACCAGAGGGAACTTGAAAGAAGTAGGAGATGAAAAGAATAGCATTGGGGTAGATAGGAACCACAGCAGTAAGACTGCTTTAACCCTCAGTTCCCTTAAATGCATATAACTTCCTTAAATGACAGCATTTAAAATAATTCCAACCTGACTAATATGTAAGAGATATCATTTTAAATACAAGGACACAAATAGGTTTAAAGTAAGTGGTTGGAAAGACATACACCTTCTAGCAGAGCTTCTGCATACCGATAAGAAGGTAGAGAGAATGTGAAAGAGCAGATGGACCCATGGCTCATAGCTACCTCTGTTGGCTTCCTTCTCTGTAACTGACAGATCCACAGGTAGAAATGGGCAGGGATGCCATGCGACATTTGAAGGACACTGCTGATCTGCTGGGTGACTGCAGCAGTCCTGTCCATGACCATGCAACATGGACCCGTGCTTTGCACTGTGTAGTAGCTGTGAATGCTGATTCCTCCTGATATCTCTCACAAGGTCTTCTCACCAGACATCCTGGGTTTCTGGGTGTTACTCTGCTAACTTGTCCTTATTTTGGACTAACCTCCTAATTTCGCCTTGGTGTTTGTTTAGCAGAACTGGACAAACTGATGTCTTTCTGAGCTGTGAACTCCCTTGTAGGTGGTGTTAGGAGGACCCTGTTGGTGTTTCTTATAGAAAACTGGTATCTCAGAATCACCTGTTCTATAATTATTCCCTTTGTTTGAGTTGTGCTGGTGTTTGGTGGTCACACAGGTTTGTCTTTAGAGACCTTCAGAGGGGACCCTGCAGCGGCCCACTCCTCATAGAAAACCCCTCTGCCTTAAATTTCTTTTGCTCTTACGCATGTTTATTGAATTGGTGCATGCTCCCCTGGGGGCTGATGTCCAATACACAGCTAATTAGTTGTAAAACTCGTTTCATGTTAAGTGTTGATTGGTGATTGCTGTCTTTTAAAAATCATCTTACAGGTACTATGGAAGTGACTGAAGCAGCCCTTGTGAGAGACATTTTGTACGTCTTCCAGGGGATCGATGGCAAAAATATCAAAATGAGCAGCACTGAAAATTGTTACAAAGTGGAAGGAAAGGTACAGTAACATAAAATTTCACCTGAAATACTCAGAAAGAATAAAACTCTAGTCCAGGTAGTGAGCTATTAACTAACTGAGTGTTCCTGTGGCTTCATAGGTTTGGGGTGCCAAGCAGGATATGCAGCTGGATATGGCTTCTTTCCCTGCCATTTTTGGATGAATGGTTTCCCATGTGCTTTCTGTGGTAGTGCTTGCCTGTTCCCATGAATCCACTGATAGGGCTGCTGCAGTGAGGTCAGAGGACCTAAGGGACAGAGGCCTAGCATGGTGTCTTTTCCCTGGATACAGCATTCCAGATGCAGGCTCTTGGCTTGGTTCTCTTTCCTTTTCTTCTTCCCATGGTCCTGCTCTGGTGTAGCATGCACTCTGCTCTGGGCTTTTTTGCAAGACAGAGGTCACCACCTTGCTGCCTCTGAGGATTATTACAGGTTCCTAGTGTGCACTCCACGGGGTGACCCTCCACAAGGTGACACAGCAGGAGCTTACTGTCCTCCTGCTACCCATGTGCTTTCTTTATCGTTAGTGATGGTGATGAAGTGTGGTTACTTAGACTTCCTTGTATTGAAGTCTAAGAATATATTACACTGAGAATGAGGTGGTTGGGGAAAGTTATAATGAACATTCTAGTATTTTTTTTTTTTTTTAATTTTTGACTTTTGGTACGTTTACTTTTTAGGCAAACATAAATAAATCCTTAAGGGATACGGCAGTCAGACTTGCTGAGTTGGGATGGTTACATAATAAAATCAGAAAATATGCTGACCAGAGGAGCCTGGACCGCTCATTTGGACTTGTAGGTCAGGTATGTTCATGTTAGCTTTGGAATAAATGCTTAATGTACTTAAGGTCTAAGTATGGAAATCACTGTCAGGAGAATTCTTAAGGAAAGCAGCCTGGGTAACTGATGATGGTGCCCATCAGGGTCCACTTGAGAGTATGGAGACCTTGGGTAATGGGTATTACAGACAGAGGCTCATTAAAGACAGGATAAAGGTAGGGATTGTGGAATAGGTAGGCTTGGACCTGCCCTGCTGCCACCACTGCCACGTCAAAGGGTGAAGAGGGACCGTGGTGACATGACCAGATTTTCAGGTACCCCACATTTCCAGTGCTACAGATGTGGGCGGTGGGGACCCACTGCTGTCACCATCTGGATGTCCTTTGGTGGGGTACCCATGGATGTTCATGTCATTGAAAGCAGCCCCCTTGTGACTGCTGGATCCTGAGGGAGCAGCAGATAAAGCAGTGTGTGTGGAGCTCGGGGTAGAGGAGTGGGTGTGGGGGTGGAGTGGGGAGGGTTTAAACTCCCAGCCTCTGTGAGTGGTCAAGTAGGACATGGTTTTGGTCTCAGTTTGATTCTTAGGCAGTAACTGTTGCCAGTGATACCACCAAAATTTTACTGAGAGAATCACAGAACAGTGGTAGTGCTGCAGCATGACTGGTGGTCAGGGGCTTGGCAGGGGCAATGTGGCTAGTGACCAGGAACATGACTCTGACTATGAACTTGGGCTGAAGGTTTAGTCTCATCTTTAATAGCATGTCACTTTGCACAAATTCTGCTTGTTCACTTGGTTTTGTCCCATAACATGAAGGTCAGGAGAGAATGCGTAGTCAGCTGCTGGCCTTGAGCCTAGCAGTTTCCTCCTGATACCATTTACTGTCCAGGAATGGCTAGATGATCTGCTCCGTCTCTGAGGGCTGACACTAGGGGGCAGATCTGGCTGGGACCAGAGTTATTAGCACAGGAGTGAAGTTCCTTCTTCGCTTATTTCATCTTCACTTCTGTCCATGTTGTTGCAAGTGACAGAATCTCATCCTCTTTCTCCTCACTTATCATTTGTCTTTTGATAATGATTATTCTTCCTGGGCTGAGCCTGTGTCTCATGGATTTTATTTGATTACCTGATGAGCATTTTTCACATGCCTGTTGGCTATTTGTATTCTTTTGGGAAATGTCCAATTCTGTAATCTTTCAAATCAGATAGTTGGTGAGTTTTTTCACCTGTTCTCTATTCCAGCATTGACCACATGACAGATGTATGTCTTATGTAGATATTCTATCGCTGTAGTTATGTCATATTTTATAGTACTGGATTTTTTTCAGTCTTTTTGAGACAAGATCTCTCTGTAGCCCCAGCTGGCCTGAAACTCACCATGTAGACATGTAGACCAGGCTGGCCTTGAACTCACATAGATCTGCCTTCCTCTGCCTCCTGAGTGCTGGAATTAAAGGTGTGTGACACCATGACCAGCCTATAGTACTGGATTTTAAAGCCTTTTCTCTCAGTTTGTTGATGGTCCTAACAATCTGTAGAACTAGCAGGGTGTGTATTGGCAGTATTCTGCAGATACTTGACATTGGCTCTCAGGCGTGTGTAACTCCTGTGCTGAAGCTTTTTTCCTTTGGTTTCCTGCAGCTGAATTCACTGTTTTGCATGCTGTAATTGATCAGGAAGTTATGGCTGACTTGTTGAGTGCTCTTATTGGGGTGATGTCTAACCCAGTTGGGGGTGGTCCTTGTGTTTGTTGGTCCTGGGTGGTTGCTGTTCTATTGAGGCCTCGGAGGGGTCCTGTCTCAAGACACTCCAGATGGAACAAAGTTGTGCAAAGGAAGATGCTGTCTCTTAAATACAGATATTTTTTTAAAAATTGTTTATTTAATAACCACATAATTAGAAGAAGCATTTCATTACAACAGCATTGACATATTCAATAACAATTTCCAGAGCTAAGATGCATCTCTTTCAAAATTGGCTATAAATTTTTAGGTTTACAGTTGAATTAATACAGTTATACAGTATTGTACTCAGTATAACCCTTAAGTAAGATATAAAATTAAATGAGGTTTTAACCTTTAAAAAAGAGCTCCATTTCCTTATTAAAATACAGTTTCATGCAGAAAAATTCATTTTTAATGCAATTAACACTAAGATGTTTGCACATGCGTTTCTAATCTCTATATATCTGATTATTACAGTCAGTTACTTTTTGAGATCCTTGGCATCTGAGCATGGATATAAAGTCATCAGGTAGATTTCAGTGGTAATGTTTTTCACATCTACTAATTATTAAATACAGATCTTTAAAAAAATTTTTATTTATTATTTTTATTTTGTGTGTTGGAGTATATTGCCTGTATGTGTGTAAGTGCACTGGTGTTGTGCAGTGCCCTCAGAGTCAGAAAAGGGTGTCATCGAATCCCCTGGAACAGGAGTTATAGAGAGTGGTTAGCTGTCATGTGGGTGCTGGGAACTGAACCCAAGTCCTCTGCAAGAGCAGCCAGTGCTCTTAACTGCTGAGCCATCTCTCCAGTCCCCTAAATACAGATCTTGGCAACGCTTTTCTTCATACCCTGTGTGGTCTGAGTATGTTACTCATGGTTTGTGCCACCATGGCCAAGACCTCATTTTTAGAGTGGACCTCTAATAGTTCTTCCTTCCTTCCTTCCTTCCTTCCTTCCTTCCTTCCTTCCTTCCTCCTTATGTATGTATGTATGTATGTATGTATGTATGTATGTATGTATGTATTTCTGCTTCCCTGGAGAATGGGGTGAGGTTTTATAAAGCCATTTCTGAACAAAGTCCACACTGCAGTCACTGTGAACATTAGTTTAGTAATAAGCACTTCTGTGCCCCTGTGCTAGTTGTTTTCCTTACATGAAGCCTCATTTGAGGCTCAGGATGGTGGCGTGGTATGTTTGGGGTGGCGTCATCCTTCATTGGGAGCCCAGGATACCACCCAAAGCTGGGCCAGTTCATCTTGCAAATCTGACTTTTAAAGTACTGCTATTTGTCTACAAAGTTGTGTTTTGTGCTCATTGTTACAGCTACTGAAGGTAAAAATGTTCAAATTTTATGTTTATTTTTGTAGCTGAAAAGGTATTTTACTTGTCTGTGAAGTAAAGCCTATATTTTATGTGATTGGATATTGTATTAAGGTATATGGGAAAGTATGCAGCCTGCATAATTACTCAAAGAGAATAGGCTTTAGCCTTTGCAGGCTGTGCCTGTGATAGCGTCTCTTGCAAAACTGACTGTGCCATGTGCTATATTAATAACCTAGGGTTCATGCCAAAAGGGTCTTCTCATGGGCTTGTAGGTCTGTGACATCCTTCTTACAGCTTCTGAAAGTGTTTTTATTTAAGACAGGAGATATCCAGAGAAATATTCATTGCTCTGATTAGGAAAGTAAACTCTGTAAATCAATCTAAATTGGGGTGGTGGTGGGGGAGAGTGGTAAAGGCGTGATGAGGGGCTGCTGATAGATGTTTCTAATGCTTACCTTTTATCAGTGAAGAACATTTGAGAAAGTTGTGTAGAAAGGCCATTGTCTTAAAGGATCATCCTCTAAAAGGGACTGCACTTTGAACTTCATGAAAACCATGCTCCATTACACTCTTATTTCTCTTCTCCTGAGTTTGTGCTTTTTGTTATTAAAATGTGTGTGGTGAGAGTTTCTAGAAGCCATGAGAGTTTCTAGAAGCCAGGATGTCAGTTTTGCAAACTCCATCAGAGGGTCCTGTCTGCTCCAGGCATGAGCCATCATGCAGTGCATGCATTATGCTTTAATTCTGTTTTCTCTTTTCCACACAGAGCTTTTGTGCTGCCTTGCACCAAGAGCTTAAAGAATACTACCGGCTGCTTTCTGTTTTACACTCTCAGGTAAGTATTCTGCTGTTAATTTCTTTATGTTTTGAAGAGTTAAAAAATTGATAGAGTTATTTTTAAGTTACTTCATATATTATAAAAAGTTAGTAGTCACTTTCATAATAAAAGATTTGTTCATTGTATTCTAGAACCAGTTAGTTACTAGTTTCAGGGTTCTGCCTGCCATTTGAAGACCACTTGTAGCCTGAAGGTACTATTGTTTTACCGAAGGGGACCTTTGACTTTATTGTTATAAGCGTATCATGGTCCTGTTTTCACTCTGTGAGTTAAGGAGTTGATGGGACACAGTTACCACTCTTGGTATTGTTTTTCAGCTCCAGCTGGAGGATGATCAGGGTGTGAATTTGGGATTTGAGAGTAGCCTTACGCTGCGGCGCCTCCTGGTTTGGACGTATGATCCCAAAATAAGACTGAAGACCCTTGCAGCCCTGGTGGATCACTGCCAAGGTCTTTGAGTTTCTCTGTTGTGTGCCACTAAATGTGCTGTAGTTCAAAACTTGTTTGTAGGGCTTTAATAGAACATGCTTTGAGCACAGATTAGATTATTAGGTACAAGCTTACAAGGAAAGTAACCTGTGAGTGTGTTCTACCAGGCTGGTTATCCTGTGGGTCTCAGGGTGTCACTGAGACAAAACTGGAAGGAGGGATGACTGGTTTTAGAGGCAGCTCTATGGACTACATGCATGGCCCTGCCTACCTCATCCCCTGCATTCCTCTCTCTCAGCCTCCCCTGACTTTTTTTGTGCTTGTGTTAATTCCTTCTGAGGGTAGAACCATTCTTCTGGTAGCAGTTCCGATTCATTATGTCTGCTTAGCCCTCTCCTGGGTTCTAGTGCCTGTTCTTCTGGGTGCCTTCTGAACACTATTACTCATGGTTTACACCACCTTGGCCAGGAACCTCTCCTTCTTCCTTCTCATTTGTAACAATGGGCCAGTAATAGTTGCTACCTCTTAGGATTGTTAGGACTGCACAGGGTATGAAGAGCCAGACACCTGCCCCATAGTGAGGGCTCTTACACTGGCTGCCATCCTCCACTAAGCTTCTGAGGGCTTGGACTCTAGCCTACCTGAGGCCTAGTTCATGTCATTCTATCTATGTGCTGCCTCCCACATTTCCTGGCACTTCTCTTAGGAAGTGTAAGAGTAAGTAAACCCTGGATTCCTCCAGTTACCAGCTCTCTCCACAGGGGTCCCTGACAGCACTTCTCCCTTTTGTCCTTTGGGTTCTTCACTTTATTAGCCAGTTGGCCACAGGTGGCCAATGAAGCCCTGTCACTGTCCCCCAAGCTGTCTCATCTGTCCTGTTTGGTCTTTGGCAGATGCTGCTCTAAGAACTGCTCCTAGATCCCTGAGTCTCTGCTTACTATAACCCCTGCTTGACATTAGAGTATTTTGTATAAAACTTGGAGGCCTAGTAAAATCCTCAGTTTCTAGCTCAGCACAAACAACTCCTCAACTGTGCTGCATTTCTGGAACTGTGCTCTGTCACTCTCCCTTCCCACCCTGGACTACAGTCATGTCTCAGACTGAATTGACTTTGTCAGTGAGTTGGGACTAGTATACCATACCGTGAGTGCTGTCACTTGATTCATATGTATTTTAGGTGTATAATGAATTACAAGGTGAAATGTGACTCTTCAGGTATCTATCAAAGAATGTGAAAAACCATGTGAGATTGAGACTTTATTAAACTCCATCACTTGGCTGTCTTTGGTTAGTCTTAAGTGTTTGGTTTGTGTCATTAATGTAAATTTGAATATTTCTGTGTATTTTCCCTCATCCACCTAGGACGGAAAGGGGGTGAACTGGCTTCTGCTGTCCATGCCTACACAAAGACAGGAGACCCCTACATGAAGTCCCTGGTGCAGCACATTCTGAGCTTGGTGTCCCATCCTGTCCTGAGCTTCCTTTACCGCTGGATATATGATGGGGAGCTGGAGGACACTTACCATGAAGTAGGTATTAAGCCAGAGTTAAGAGGTGTGGGTAGTACCTGACCCCATTACCATCGCTCTGAATAGGAATGGATCGTTTGAAGTTGTGTACATTTGGCACAGTGCTCTGAAAGCCAGTTACTTTGTTGACTGGCAGTATTTGGTAGTGGAAAGCTGTTTTCCCGGTTTCAGAGGTAAGCTCAGCTAGGTGCGAGTGTGTGTCTAGGCTCACTAGCTTGGTGGCAGAGCCAGGACTAGGCTTCCTGGGTCTGTTGGTGCAGCTTCAGGGGTCCTCACTTGATGTGGGTGTTCTATAAACTTGCTTTGATCAGCTGTGGCGTTGGCAATTTGAATGAAGCAAGTTACCACATTTGTGCTTATTTACCTTTTGAAATACAGGCAGTTTTGGTGCGTTGCAACTTGCATAAAAATCGCTGGCATGCAGAACCTGGCACTAAAGACCATAGGACTTTGGAGAAAAACAGGGCTAGGGACAGCACACTTAAAAATGTCAGTAGCATTAGGAAATTAAAATATAGGAGTCTAATAATATGTAATAATATATGACCAACTCTTAAGAGGCTAAGAAATAGATCAGTGCCACAGTAAATAAAGCATTTACCTTGGAAACACCCTGATGTTTGCTGTGGAAGTGGGTGCAGGAGGGCTGCTGTTTTCTTGGGCAGTACTAGGGATTGAACCCAGGCGCTGTGCTTGCTAGACAAATGCTTTACCACTGAGCTATATCCTCAGCCTTTCTTCTAGCTTTTTGAAATGTATAGTACATAATTATTGTTGTTCTTTTTTTTT